TCTGCGGCGGAACCGGACAGTGCCCCCCCCACATCGCCCCCCGGCGTCGGTACCGGGCCCCAGACAGCCCCCCCGCGGAGGGCACGGCGGGGCGGCGCCGCCGCCATTCCTCGCCCCGGCGGCACAAGATGGCCCCGGCCCCGGCCCCCCGCCCCGCGGCGGGGAACGGGCAGCGGGCACCGGCAGCCGGACAGGACAGGACAGGGCCGGGCCGGGGTTAGCTGGGCAGCGGGACACGCACCCCCTCCTCTTCTGTTCCCTCCCCGCTTCTCCCTTCCCTTCCTTTTTCCCCCCGGGACTCCAGCTCACCTCCGGGGCAAACGGCGAAGCGCAGGAGTCGGAGTCCATGTCCCGGCGCGGGCGCGGGCGGGTCCGGGGCGGCGGCGGCGGCAGCCGGGCAGTGCCGACACCGCGAGCCGCTCGGTGCCGGCGGGAGGCGGCGAAGGGGCGGCCGCCCGCGCGGGGCCGCCGGGAGCCGTAGTCCGGGCGTGCGCAGTGCCGGGCGCGGGGCGCGCTGGGAGCGGCGGAGGGGCGGGGGCGGTGCCGGTGCCGGGAGCGGTGAACGGAGCGGGAACGGAGCACGGAGCAGAGCGGAGAGTGGATCGGTGAGTGGGGTCCAGGAGTGGCTCTAATCGGGTGATTGTGGGCCCGGGCGGAAGGGGCCGGCCCTGGGCTCACCGCGGGGCCTGGCTGGTGGCGGTGGCAGGACGGGCAGGGCGCCGAAGCGTCTACCGCGAGCTGGACCCTCAGCCCCGAGGCGGACCCTCCGTCCGCGCTAACGGCGGTACCCGGGCCGGACTCGGAGCGGAGCTCCCTCAGCGCTGTCTGCGCTCGGGGCGGTCCTGTGTTCCCCCGGTACCATGGGGCGGCTCCTTGTGAGCGCCAGGCCAGGGCCAAGGGCGCGGGGCTGGGCGCGGTAGCTGCGGGGCCCTGGGACCGGCCTGAGCGCGGCCGCGCTGCCAGCGCCGCCGCCTTACGCAACGGCCGCTCTCGGGGGATCCCAGCCGGGACGGGCTCCCCGAGCCCACCCGCCGCCTCCTTGCCTGATCTCCACCTCCCTTTCCCACCCCGGGAATCGCTTGGGGGTCGGCCCAGCGGCTCCGCGCAGGGCGTGATCCAGGTGCTCTCCCGCAGGCACGGCATGGCGACAGGCACCGGCGGGACGGCAGCGGGAGCCTCAACCACGGCGGCGGCGACGGGAGAACCGGCACACGCGGTGTCGCTGCTGCGGGGTCTGAGCGCGCTGCGGGCCGAGCGGAGCCTGCTGGACGTGACGGTGGTGGCCGGCGGGCGAGAGTTCGGGGCTCACCGCGCCGTTCTGGCCGCAGCCTCGGGATATTTCCGCGCCATGTTCGGCGGGGCCCTGCGCGAGTCGCGGGCCGAGCGTGTGCGGCTGCACGGCGTCGAGCCCGAGTGCCTGGGGCGGCTGCTCGACTTCGCCTACACCGGCCGCGTGGGGCGGCTGGGCCCCGACATCGCCGAGCGCCTGCTGCGCGCCGCCGACCTGCTGCAGTTCCCCGCTGTCAAGGAGGCCTGCGGTGCCTGGCTGGCGCGGCAGCTGGAGCCCGCCAACGCCCTGGACATGCAGGACTTCGCGGAGGCCTTTGCCTGCCCGGAGCTGGCAGCTGCCGCCCACCGCTTCGTGCTGCGGCACGTAGGCGAGCTGGGCGCCCAGCTGGAGCGGCTGCCGCTGCCGCGCCTCCTCTCCTACCTGCGGGACGATGGGCTCTGCATCCCCAAGGAGGAGGCTGCCTTTCAGCTGGCCCTGCGCTGGGTGCGCGCTGACCCCGCCACCCGTGCCCCGCTGCTGCCACAGCTCCTGGCCCACGTCCGCCTGCCCTTTGTGCGCCGCTTCTACCTGCTGGCTCACGTGGAGAGCGAGCCGCTGGTGGCCCGCTGCCCTCCCTGCCTGCGCCTTCTGCGTGAGGCCCGCGACTTCCAGGCTGCCCGCCTCGACCGCCACGACCGGGGGCCCTGTGCCCGCATGCGCCCCCGGCCCTCCACTGGCCTCGCCGAGATCCTTGTCCTCGTTGGTGGCTGTGACCGTGACTGTGATGAGCTTGTCACCGTCGACTGCTACAACCCACGCACTGGCCACTGGCGCTACCTGGCTGAGTTCCCCGAGCACCTGGGAGGGGGCTACAGTGTCGCTGCACTGGGCAACGACATCTATGTCACTGGTAAGGCATCCAGGGAATGAGGGGAAGCACCAGGGTGGAGGGTTCTGTAGAAAATGTGTAGGTTATAGCAGCGACACTTGGCTTTTCCTGGGTGGAAGAGAGTTTGGGACTTGGCTTGGGTGTCTGCAGCCTGCCAGCAGGCATGGAGACTCCTGGAGTCGGTGCTGGATTTAGCAGCTGGTCTCAGTCCAGGAGCTATTTTGTCATGACTAATGCTGTTGAGCATGCTGGCAGAAGTCACAGATCTTGTAGTTAGAACTTTTTAACCGTCACTGAGGACAGGGGTGATGTAAGAAGGTTTTGAGTTTCTCTCTTTGAAGAAGGTGTTCAGGTTCAGAGCCCCCTGAATCACATGCTTGAGGCTGAGGCTTGTCAGAAAGCCCTGGGTTCCTTCACCAGCCCCTGTGAGTCACAGTACCTTCCCCTGCACAAATCCTGCCTCCTTGCTGGGGCTACAATTACTTCTGTCAAGGTGACACCAATATGTAAATTTGGCTGTTAAGCTGTATGCAGATCTTTCCTTTGAACTACATCTCTGTGACAGCTGTTAAAAACTGAGGCCCAGCACACCGAGTGCTGTGGAACAGCATGCCCTCAGTGTGCAGGACACACTGGCAGAGCTTTGAAGAGCAAGTCTTAATGCAGGTGAACAGAAAACTGTGTGTTCTCTAGTCACAAGCAGAAAACAAGGACCTGCTTCAAGGACAGGGCTGTAAAAATGACAGGCTACCCACATGGATGCAGCATGTTTTTACAGAAACCTTTACATCCTGTGGGAGCTTCCTGGAGTGATCCCAGGCAGGTCTCCGCTGGGAGCTGTGTGCAGGCTGCTGCTGGGGATTTTGGGTTGGTCTGGTCTGTGTCAGTGTGATGAAGGCAAGGCTGGGAGATTCCCAAGCTGCCAGCAGCACCACTGCCTTGGCAGCTTCTGGGCAGTGATAGAGGAGGGGCTGTAAAATGGGAGAGAAGTGTTAGTGGACAGAGGTGCGTGGCTGTTAGAGGACAGAAGTAGTGAAACATGGAAGATACATTTTGAGTCACAGCTGGATGTGGACTAGGAACGACATGGGAGAAATCCTCTCTGGCTTGCTGGGAATGAAACAGTGCAAAACTTCCTTTAAAATCCTTGTGGCACACGTGCCAAGCCAAGCGCTCTATCACCCTTCCCTTGGTGGAGCCAGGCTCCTGACATTGTCATGCTGTGCCACAGGGGGCTCGGACGGGTCCAGGCTGTACGACTGTGTCTGGAGGTACAATTCCAGCGTGAACGAGTGGACAGAGGTGTCGCCCATGCTGAAAGCCAGGGAATACCACAGCTCCACGGTCCTGGACGGGCTGCTCTACGTGGTTGCCTCTGACAGCACGGAGCGCTATGACCACACCCTGGACAGCTGGGAGGCCCTGCAGCCCATGCTGTATCCCATGGACAACTGCTCCACCACCTCGTGCCGTGGGAAACTCTTTGCCATCGGCTCCCTGGCTGGCAAAGAGTCCATGGTCATGCAGTGCTATGACCCTGACAGTGATCTCTGGTCCCTTGTCAACTGTGGCCACCTGCCCCCCTGGTCCTTTGCCCCGAAGACTGTCACGCTCAACGGTCTCATGTACTTCATACGGTGAGTAGTGGGAGCAATCACTTCCCTCCCTCCCCATGTCCCCATGAGGAGAGCCCACAGCTTCCCTGGGAAGGTGGATTTTGCAGGTGCTGGGTTGGGACAGCACAGCAGTGCTTCCCCTGATGGTGCAGGGAGGGCTGTAACACCTCTTCCCTTGTGTTGGTGGGTCTCAAAGAGCAGCCCATAAACTTGTGTGAAAATGTCTGAGTGTAACCCAGGGCTGGGGAACAGACACGTGTAAATCCATCTGAAGTCAGCAGCGCTGCTTGGAAATTGGCTTCTCGGTTTCTTCGGCTCCTGGTTCAGCCCCCCTCGTTGCTATAAATAAGCACATAAGCTCCAAGAAAACGTTAAACTCTAGTGCAGGAGAGGACGTCTTCCGTCTCAGCAGAGATAAGAGGGCTGAAGATGAAGTGATTGGTCACTATTTTTAAGCACCTTTCCAAATTGGGACTTAATTACCCATCTGAAGCTGTCCTGGTGGCGCAAATACTTCAGTTATCCGCTTAATTAAAAATAAACGGGAAGGCATGCTAGGGCTGGAGCATTTCATCTCCCTGTGTTGACTCTGAGCAAACAGAGACTTCTGTGATGGCTCCCAGGCACTTCTCTTTTTTTAATCTCCTCTTGGCTTTGCATAAAGTAGCAACTTTGGCCCAAGACTTTTTATTTGATCTTTTCGGGTCCAGCCAAGTGTCTTGCTGGCGGCTGTTCTGGTCAGCTGGTTTCAGTCTGTCCTGCCAGGGTGTTGCAGCTGCTCAGCTCCTTGTCACAACCTGATTCTATAGAATTTCCTTTTTCTTGCCCATTTTAAAACACTGATGATTGACACTTCAGAATTTTCAGATCACTTTGCATCTGCAAGAGCCAGTGAGGAGATGATCAGGGTTAGGTGTTCTTCCCTCATGTCACGTGCTGTGTGCGCGTGGGCTGCTGCTCCATGTAGAGCTGTGGGATAATCTTTGGAGGACAGAGGAGTAGGTTGCAAGTAAAAGTAGCAAATCGGTTTAATAGATCAGGCTAAAGGCTCTGAGTGATGATCCCTAGTACTGGGACTAGTTTTATTCCTGTAAATAAAGCACAGGAGTGAGGTTCAGGTGCTCTCTGCAGCTGCCCCAGAGTTGACCCAAAGTGGAGAGAGGAGCCCCTGGTCTGGCTGCTGGCCCTGCCTGGAGCTGCCTTGCAGCATCTTGATCCCATCTGTACCAGGACTGTCTTGGAAGGACTGACAGCTCCTCTCCAGCTGCCCTGACCTTGTCCTCCACACATTCTTGTGTCAGCAGCGCGTGTCTCTGAGTCGCAAACGTCCCTCACCTGTCACTGTCGCCCTCCTGTCTGCCGAGCAGGGTGGGTAAGAGAAGCCCTGGGGGATTATGTTGCCTCCCCAGCTCTTCTCTCCCCCTGCCCATCTAAATTTAGCTTTGATGAAGAACCCAAGCAACGTTTCTAGAATGCAGAAGAGTAATTTTGTGTTCTCTTCCCCAGAGATGACTCGGCTGAAGTGGATGTTTACAATCCATCAAAGAACGAATGGGATAAAATCCCTGCTATGCTTCAGGTAGGACATTTTTCCACTTCCAGGATGTCTTAAATGTTATAAATTAGTTTCATTTACCTTTGGAAAACCAAGAGCTTTTTAGAATCAGAACCCCTTGCATGTGGAGCTGGTTTAAGTGTGTTGGAGTCACTGGGAAGACAGTCCTAGATGTGGTGGCATGTCTGGGTGTGCAGCCCAGCACGTGAGATCTGTGGGCAGCACTGGTTCAGAGCCCAACCTGCAGCTGGCAGGCATGAAGCTCCCTCCAAGGAACAGCTCCCAGATGCCACCGATCCCCTCGCTGGATCCGGCAAACACCCCCTGTCACAGTGTGTATTTATTGTTACGTTGCAGGTTCATGTTGGGGGGAGCGTGGCTGTGCTCGGTGGGAAGCTCTATGTCTCGGGAGGCTACGATAACTTGTTTGAGCTCTCGGACGTCCTGGAAGCCTACGACCCCGAGACACGAACGTGGAGTGTCGTGGGCCAGCTCCCTGAGCCCATCTTCTGGCACAGCAGCGTCAGCATATTCCGGCAGTTCATGCCAGAAACCACACAGGAGGACGACAGCATCACGCTGGACAACACCATCAGCTTGAGCAGGCAGAACCAAAACCTTCACAACCAGAACCTCAATGAGCTGCCTTAGCACAGGAAGCGGCTTGACAGAGTCCCTCATCTGGAACCTGGGCTGCTTTAAGGCTGAGGCAAACCAGTGCTTGGAAACAAAACCATGCTGTTCACAGAGGGAGCAAGAACTCTGGCTGTTGGATGTGATGCTGTGGGCCTGCGGGCAGCGAGGCCTCCACTGCTTCCCTCAGCCCTTCAGGGTGGGAGACGGCGCCGCGCTGCCCACAGGGACCCGAGAGCTGATCCTGGGGAAAGCACTCGTGGTGAACCACGCCACAGCACCGCTGCTTACGGCTTGTGACACCTTTCACTGGGAGCTCCTTCACCCTGTAATGCTTCATTTGGCCACCAAACTCCTTCCCTCATTTTCGGTCTTGGGAGGGGTCTGTCTGTCTGTCTGGTAGGGCAGTGATCTGGACACCCCCCCGTATTCTGTGCCTCAGAGGAAGATAGGCTTCCCGTGCACGTGTTGGATTGAAAGGTAGTTATTTTAGGGGTTTTTTTCTTCTTTTTATTTGGGGTTTGCAGTTTTATTTTGGCCTGTGTAAGATTTGCCTTTATACTTGCCCAAGTGCCCTGGCCAGGTGGGCTGTTAATCTACCTTTGCTGAAGAGCAGCTGCGTGCAGTTTACTTGTGGAATGTTTTTGGAAGAAAGCAAATGGCTGAACCTGAAGCATGGCTCCCTGAGTGCAAGTGCTGCACCTTCTGGAGAACCCTGAAGTGTGGCAGAAGCTAAGGTGTGGCTGGATGCATTTGCTTTTTTGGTCTTTAAATTTTACCTAATAGAGGAAAAACTTGCATTTAAACTGAACTCAGAGATGGAAACCCCGTGTACTCGATCTCTCTCCTCCAGGCTTGCCCCTGGATTGGGGAGCATCTGAGCCTCATTTCCACAGCATCAGCATCTTCACAGCTTTACAGAAACGTGTTTTGCCCCAGTGCTGTCTGATGCTGCTGCACCCCTCAGCCACGGGGAGCCTGGAACACTGACAGTGCCTTGAGAGCGCCGCGTGCCAGCGGGGAACGCGCAGGGCCCGGCGCGGCTGCCCCTTGGTGTCAAACCCGTGGACAGAGTAGGGGACGCAGGGGCCCACAGTTCGGGGCAGCTGCTGCTTTTTTTGGGAGCAATGGCCAATTCCCGACGGCGCCGCGGCTCGAGGCATTTCTGCTGAGCTATAAATAACGCGCCGCGGCGCACGCGGCCGTGCTCGCTGCTGGACCCCCGTCCCACCCGCTGAGCAGCTACAGCTCTGTATTTATTTTTTGTAGAATTCATTGTGTTGAATCCTCAAGTACAGTTGAACTCCATCCTTTGAAACAAAGGCATTTTACATTTGCAGATAATGTATTTTTATTCTCATAGTTTGTTTTTAAATTTACTTGCAGCAGTCAAGTTAAATAAAACTTGTTACACAATTCTGTTCTCTGTGAGGGGAAGGGACCTGGAATGAGATTTTACTGGGAGTTTCTCATTCCAGATATGCTTAAATTGGAGCCTCTCTGCCTCCCTGGTGAGTAGAGGGAGAAAGGGGAGAGAGTACGTCTGCAATTCTGGGGTGTGGGGGTACACACAGAGATCTCTCCCCACCCTGGCACCACTCAGGCTGTGGTTCTCTCTCCCAGCATCCCTGGATTGGGTTATTTGGAACAGAGTATGTCCCCACAGGTGAGCACAGGAGCGCAGGCACTTTGTAGCTGCTGGAGTGAGCAGACATGGGTTATGCCTTTAATGGGACAAGGAAAGAGCAACTGACAAAAGCTTAACAAAACAAAGGAGAAATAAGGCACCAGTTAAACAGAGGAGTTAAGGAATGGTCAGAGTCGCTCTCTGTGGGGGAAGCTGAGCTTTAATCACAGGCAGGGTGAGAGGGATGGAGGAAAGGGGAAGGCAGCACCAGCTCCTCAGGCATCAGAAAATGAGTCACAGTATGACACAGGGAGGTCGGTCCATCCCACTGCACACCACACAGGGACACTGGAGTGACTGTTCTGAGACATTTCTTCATTTGACACTCCACCAAAACATCATGGTGACTTCCTTTCCCTGCAGCCTGGGATTGGAGATGAGCAGAAAAGGAGGGGAGGAGGCTCAAAAGAACAAGTGTGGCAGAAAAGTGGCTCAGCTTAATGCTTTAGTGTGTTTCAGTGGAAGGGGATGGGTGGCCACACTACGTCTCACAGTCTTCAGGAATCGTGGTAGTTATAATCAGCGATTGCTCAATCACGTCTGCAGGGGAGAAGTTCTCGTTTGAGCAGAGTTTCTGTGCAGGGACCTCCTCAGGCAGTGGCCCACGGGCCAGCGACTCCACGATCACCTCGGCTGAGCCCACCTCCAGCTCTGGCGGCGGCTGCAGCACCACCGTCACATCCTTCTCATCCTCGATGATCAGGTTCCGCAGCTTCCGCTGCCGAGGGTTGTAGTTCTCCACTCGGTCGTGGATCTCCATGTGGCGCCTCAAGTGAGCCTGCAAAGGAAGGGGAATGTGGAGAGACCCAGTGAGGGCTGGCTCCCCAGTGCAGCAGGGGGCCCTGGAGCAGGGGAAGGCCTCACCTGCCGTGTGAATTTGTAGCCACACTCAATGCATTCAAACTTCCTCACTCCCTTGTGCCTGCGAACATGGACACGCAGCTGTTCTACCGCTGGGAAGGGAAATGAGAGCCTGTTGGCAGCAGCTCCATGTCATACCATCTCACAGCAATGCCAACCCACCCGCAGGAAGGAGGCAGCTCCTGCAGAGCCCCACGAGAGCTGGAGCCCCCACGTTACCTTTGAATGTCTTCCCACAGATGTGGCAGAAGTGAGGCCGCCCCTCCTGGTGCCGGCTGGCGACGTGCCTCAGCAGTGGCCCCTTCTCTGTGAAACGCTGCGCACAGAACTCGCAGCTGAACGGCCGCTCGCCGGTGTGCGTCCGGTTGTGCTTGTCCAGACTCGCTGCCGTTCAGAGGGGCAGACACGGAGGGTGGCTGGTCAGAAGCACAGCCCATGCACCCCCATCCCAGGGGCTGTCAGGCTGGGCCAGGCTGGCCAGGAAGGCAAAAGCAGCACAAGGAGCTGCCTGCTCCTGCTAAGGGTCATGAGCAACACCAGCTTGTCCCCGTTCTGTGCCATGAGAGCAGAGTAGGTGACAGGAACATGCTTTTTTTGATATCAGCCTGCACTCACAAAAGCATGGCTTTGCTCCTGGGGAAGCTACTTTCTGGAGCTCCTGGATGCTGGAGCCCTAACCCTGCCCCAGCCACAGCCAGGGGTACCTTGTGTCCGGAAGCTTTGTATGAGCCTGCACTCAGAAGAGCATGGCTTTGCTCCTGGGGAAGCTGCTTTCTGGAGGTCCTGGATGCTGGAGCCCTAACCCAGCCACAGCCAGGGGTACCTTGTGTCCGGAAGGTCTTGCCGCAGAGATGGCACTGGAAGGGCTTCTCGCCAGTGTGCGTGCGCAGGTGCATGTTGAGGTTGGCTTTCTGCGTGAAGGCGTGGTGGCAGAACTCACACACGTAGGGCCGCTCGTTCCTGCGGGCAGAGAAACGTCACCATCACCTCTGTCAGCTTCAGCCCCTTGGGTCTCAGCCCAGCACTTCTGTGAGGAGGGTGACTTTCAGCAAACCCCCAGGCCTGTGGGGCAGGGACTGCAGCCAGGAGAGCTAACAAGAGAGGACATGGGTGACATTGTACCTGTGCTTGGCCTTGATGTGCATCTGGAGGCCGTTGCGGCTCGAGGCCCTGTGCCCGCACTCCTCGCACACAAACAGCTTCTCTCCGCGGTGCTTGAAGGCCTCGTGTAGGCGCAGCTCTGTCCGGGACAGAAAGCACTTGGAGCAGGTTGAGCACTGCAAGGCCACAGGAGAGGAGGGTGTTAGGGTTGGGGTACACCCACCCCAGACCCGCTCACACCTGGCCTTTCCCCAGCTGCTCCAGGGACCTCCCTGCAGAAGCCAAGGCAGCGCCACCAGCTCAGAGACGCCCACTAAGATGGGACAGCCCAAAAGAGATGAAGTGCTGGTCAGTGCTTGGATCTGTGGGCTGCTCCTGTACCCAATAGAGCCCATTTCCAGTAGCTCTGTGCCCCACCCCTCACTGAAAGAGCCACACGTAATGTTGTGCCATTCCTTAGGCCAGGTCCACACTCAGGATCACACCCTCCCCAAAACTCCTGGTCCCTACCGCATGGGGCTTGGGTGCACCATGAAGCTTTATCATGTGGCTCTGCAGGTCCTTCTTCTGCATGAACTGCTGTGAGCATGAGGAGCACTGCAAGACAGGAGAATGGGGTCACATTCCAGCTGCCCCCAAAATGTGGTTTCAGAGCAAGGAGAGGACTGACAGGGGAGTAGAACACAAATTCCTGGTACAGCCATGGGAAGCCTTTGGCTGTGGTGCCTCCCTGGATCATACTTTGGTTCAGAGACAGGGAACAACCCTGAGTGGGATGTCATGGACCAGAGAAGGGAACTGGTGCGCTCAGCTCTTGATGGGCTGGGCTGCCCTAGAAGGGAAAGGTTCGCCCCTGCTCTGTGCCAGTGTCCAGCAGCATCCATAGGGATGTCGGATGCAGGCCCTGCTGACCTTGTATGGCATCTCTCCAGTGTGTGACACCATGTGCAGCCGCAGCTCCATCCGCCGCTTGAACACCTCCGGGCAGGCCGAGCACGTGAATACCTGTGAGAGACGGGCTGACATTGGCTTCCACAGCACCCAGAGCCTGACCTGGAGCCCACAGCTCAGCCTCCTGCCCAGCACATGGCACTGGCACCCAGCTACAGCATTCAGCCCGCACCCACAGGAGCTGAATCGTGTACAGTACAGTCCTGGTGTGCTGAAATACAAGTGAGGGCTGTGTTGTGTATCAGGCGTGAGTCCCAGCCACAGGGGCCCTGGCTGTGGGGGTCCCAGCCATGGAACGTGCCACACAGTGCTGGCAGGGGTCTGTTTGGAACTGAGCGTGGGCCGGGACTGGGAAAAGGCTCCAATTCCCCTGCTGCCACATGGCAGCCACACTCCAGCCCAGCAGGGCAGCTCCTGGGCGTACCTGTTCCGATCGGTTCATGCAGTTCCTGGCTTCGTGTTCCAGGAGATTCTCTTTTCTAAAGTAACATTTGCCACACTTGGAACACTCAAATGGCTTCTCTCCAGTGTGTTTCCTTGGGGTATGCAAATAGAGAATCCCATCACTGCCTGTCAACAGCATCTGCACAAACAGGCCTAGGAGGTCACAGGGAAGGGTGAGGTGGGTACTTCCCCCCCCACCCCCACAGTGATACTATTCACAGCTGCCCTAAAGCTGCTTTTGTGCCACTTTTGAGTCCCCTCAACAGCACAGCTGTCAGTGCCCACAGCACTCCACAGAATACCATTTCTGCAGGGCCAAGATTCTTCCCCAACACAAGCGAAGCAAAGCTTGAGCTCTCACTGCAGGGCCATGCCCTGCACTCAGTGATCCGCCCTGGAGTTCCTCACACAGCCCAGCCATGTGTCCCCAGCAACCCCAGAAACTCCCCCCCAGCCCGGGGCACTCTCAAAGCCCAGAAGGACTTGCCGTTGCCCACCTGCAGCTAGCAGCTAGCGCAGCCCCCAAGGAGCCCATCACATGGCCCTCCTAAGCCACAGGAAGGACACTCACTGCAGCTCTGGGACATCTTTCACTGACATATAACTCTCCCACAGGCCAGAGCACCCCCAGGGGCAGAGGAGACCCTCCACGACCAGCCTGGGGATGCCGAGGTGCTGGGACTAGCTGGCAGAAAGGAGGCCGCCCTTTCCCCCCACCCCGGGAAGGGGCCGAGCCGTGGGGCGGCGCGCACGGGGAAGGAGAAGCCGGAGCGTTTACCTGTTGTGCACTTTAAGGTAATATTTGCTGAGGAAGGTTTTATGACATGTGGGGCACTCGACCGGCACCGCTGTACCTTTTCTGCTCCCCGGCGCCTTTCCCGGAGCGGGGGGGCTCTTTTTGCTCCGCAGCACTTTTTTCTCGGGAAGGGGCTCGGCGTCGCCGTCCCCCCGCCCGCCGCCACCCACCGCCGCCTCCTCCGGGGCTGAGGGGGAGCCCTGCGAGGGAACAGCGGCGTCACCGCGCCGCCC